ATTAGAGGTGTTACAAGAGAGTAACAAACACAAAAAAGAAGAAGGGGAGATAAGGACGACAGATGTTTGATAGGAAAGAAGAAGCAAACCACACCAGAGCACCCGCCAACCAACCACACGCAGACAGACAGACAGACAGACAGACAGACAGACAGACAGACAAACACACAGACAGACAAACAAACAGACAGACAGACAGACAGACAGACAGACAGACAGAGAGGGGGGAGGAAGAGAGAGGAGAGAGACAGTGATAGAAAGAGTAAGATAGTGTTTAATTTTTTTAAATTGTAAGAAAAACAAACAACACATGAACAAAAGCATTAAGCCCCATATTCAGATATATCTGTTTTATAAGACTTCGTTTTAGTAGGTGAATATTGAATCTTTAAATGAAAATAAAGCTTCACATATAAAATGACCTTTGAAATTATGATTTTAATAAATCTAAAAAAATTTGATCAGACCAAATTTGCAACCTGCTGGTATTTTGTTTTAAGTATTCTGCCTTGACTTGAAACCGTTTACTGAAAAAGAGTGCGTGAATACTTTTGAAACATATTTTTCAAAAACAATGTTACGGGTTGTTCTGTGTTTTATTCTGTCAGTTCATCATCTGATTTGATTCAGCCTTTTTATGTTCGTTATTCCTCCTTCATTTTTTATTGATTCCACGACGCATTTTAACGCAGTTTTTGTTAACCTAATTTTCTGTCATTTTTCTTTCCATCTTTTTTCCGAGACAAAAATAAAAATGTTTTGTCCCCCCCTGCCTCGCCCCACCCAACTCATTTCTCTCCTCAAATTAACATTTTCTGGATCTGGTGCAGAGGCTCATAAATAAACATTGGTTTGGAGAGGAGGAAGAAGATAGTCTGTGTCCTTGTTGTGGCAATGACGTCACACGTGGAAACCCCATCGAAGGGAAGAAGAAACTTGTTTTTTTTAGAGAGATGGAACGAAACAAAATTAGCCAATATGTTGTTTCTGTCTTAACGCGAAGCTCATCGATATAACAACGGTTATCTTGTGTTGACGGGAAGCCTAATGTTACAGCAGCAACTAGAATGAAGATGGATGTCAAACACCTGAAACGTTTGTGTGTGTGTGTGTGTGTGTGG